AAAAAAAAAAGGAGGGAAAACTTCAAAACTGGTAACAAATTTCCACGCTTCAAGCTGAGTGTCCCTTTCTTTTTATTTTCTTTTTAATTTTTATTTATTTTTTGAGGCATTCAACTGAGTACATCTTTTTTTTTTGTTGAGCAAGAAAATTGCAATGTGTGTGTTGGAAACAGAGGAAAAAAAACAAATTTGCACTTAAAAAAAAACAAATTTGCACTCAGAAAAAGAAAAAAATTGCACTCTTTTTACCTTTTCATTATCAGGCTGAATTGTTGGGCAACGAAGTTCTTTTTTTTTTTTTTAATAAAAAAAAGGGCGATGGGCTTGGAGTATCATCAAGGAGCTGACCGGGCCCATGTAATTCAGGAATATTGTTTCATTCATCTGGTTCCATCACGTGGATTCGAACTTGGGTCTGTAGGGGAATGCACATGGGCAACGATATTTTCCATCTTGTGAGTGTTGGGGAAAAAGAAAACAGAAATCAAAGTTGGACTCTTTTATTGTCCTTTCTGTTCCGTTTGGATTCATCTGGTTTCCATCATGTGGATTCGAACGTGGGGGGTCTGTATTACAACAGTTCCTGGGTGTACCAACTGAGCTGATAAGCTCATTGGGCAACGAAGTTTTCCATCTTGTGTGTGTTGGAAAAAAAAAAAAAAAAGACAAAGTTGGACTCTTTTGTTACCTTTCCTTTATCAAACTAATACTGTAAAAGCATAGTAAAGTGTGTTCGCATGTTGTTTTTTTTTTAATATCTTGCCCCACCTTTCCTTCCTTCCCTGCCTTGTCTTCCCTTCTCCACCGGCTTCACTCATTATTGTTTTTGTTTTTTTTAGTGGGGGGGGGGGGTCGGGATACCAACACCCTTTTTGTTTTTGTTTTTGTTTTTTGAAGTTTTTTTTCCCCTACATGCTTGTTACTACCTGTAGTATTGTGTCATCCATGGGCACGATTTTGGCTTCTTTCGTTTTGTGTACCCCCCCTACCCCCCCCCCCACCCCTTCTTAGGGGAAATATGTAGAGGGAGGATCTTGACATTAGCTGAAGTAATTAACAACCCCTTGGAAAAATATCAACGGGTCTAATTCTTTTGGGTTCTAGAATGCTGACAGTTTCCCGGCTACTCTCTCTCTCTCTCTCTCTCTCTCTCTCTCTCTCTCTCTCTCTCTCTCTCTCTCTCTCTCTCTCTCTTTCTTTCTTTCTTTCTTTCTTTCTTTCTTTCTTTTTTACTGTGTTTCTCTCGCTCTTTTTCGTTCTTTCTTTCTTTTTTTCTTTCTTTCTTTCTTTCTTTCTTTCTTTCTTTCTTTGTTTCTTTCTTTCTTTCTTTTTGTGAGGACATGCACAGACCAACTGGCGTAACTCAGTCAGTGAACCTCCAGAACTGTTGAAATACAGACCCGAGTGAGTTTGGACTGCAGTGGAAGCAAATGCGAGCAAACGATGATATCTCAAGGCCGTTGCCCTTCAACGAAAAGGGGGAAAAAAAAAAAGGAAAAAAAAGAAGGAAAAAAAGAAGAAAAAAAAGAAAACAGAAGACATGCACAGACCCAAACAAAACGGATGAGTTGTCGTTCTGTCTGTCGGCTTTTTTTTTTTCCGCCTGTTATGCCTGTTATCATATACGTGTTGGTACCAAAGCCAAATAACGATGGCCCAGGAAAAAAAAAAAGGACAAAAAAAGGATGGGAAAGAAAAACGTAAAGACGTCATGATGCAAACAAAACACAGCGAGAGAGTGAAGTCTGCATAAGTACGATATACAGATCCAAAGAATAAGAGCGCAGAGAGGAGGAGAAAAGAAAAGAAAGAGAAAACAAAAGAAAGAGA